ATGGACCCAACAACATACCTCACTACTGAAGCTTTAACTACCATGGAACTAACAACAGAAGTCACTACTGAAGCTTTAACTACCATGGAACCAACAACAGACCTCACTTCTGAAGCTTTAACTACCATGGACCCAACAACGGACCTCACTACTGAAGCTGAAACTACCATGGTCCCAACCATAGACGTCACTACTAAAGCTGAAACTACCATGAAACCAACAACAGAAGTCACTACTGAAGCTTTAACTACCATGGACTCAACAACAGACTTCACTACTGAAGCTTTAACTACCATGGAACCAACAACAGACCTCACTACTGAAGCTTTAACTACCATGGACCCAACAACAGACCTCACTTCTGAAGCTTTAAATACAATGGACCCAACAACATACCTCACTACTGAAGCTTTAACTACCATGGAACCAACAACAGACTTCACTACTGAAGCTTTAACTACCATGGAACCAACAACAGAAGTCACTGCTGAAGCTTTAACTACCATGGTCCCAACAGCAGACCTCACTACTGAAGCTGAAACTACCATGGAACCAACAACAGAAGTCACCACTGAAGCTTTAACTACCATGAACCCAACAACAGACCTCACTACTGAAGCTGAAACTACCATGACACCAACAACAGAAGTCACTACTGAAGCTGTAACAACCATGGAACCAACAACAGACTTCACTACTGAAACTTTAACTACCATGGACCCAACAACATACCTCACTACTGAAGCTGAAACTACAATGGAACCAACAACAAACGTCACTACTGAAGCTGTAACTACCATGGAAACAACAGACGTCACTACTGAAGCTGTAACTACCATGGAACCAACAACAAACGTCACTACTGAAGCTGTAACTACCATGGAAACAACAACAGACGTCACTACTGAAGCAAAAACTACAATGAACCCAACAACAAACGTCACTACTGAAATTGAAACTACCATGGACCCAACAACAGACGTCACTACTGTTGCTGTAACTACTGAAGACATGGCAACTACGATGGATTCCTCAACATTTCTGTTCACAACTCCATATGCTGATCAATGTGAAGTAATACTAGGATATGAGAATGTAACCGTACAGATGGCTCAAATTCTTGAAAATGAACCTCGTGGAACATTTGTAATTGACTTATTATTGAGGGAACAATACGCAAGCTATGACGTCATATATGAATTTGCTGAAACAGTTGAAAATTTCGCTATTGATGACAATGTAAGGATCTGAGTTTGCTCTGTTTTTTTTCCATTTTTGTTGCAGACAATTTACAACAAACTGTGTCTGAAAATAATCATATCAATGTAGATTTTAGATTAAAACAAGCATTCTTCGAAATGCATTTTTGTTGATATTAGAAAAATATTCAATTTATATTGTATTCATACACAGGGCATTGTGACAACATTGTCATCGTTAGACAGAGAAAGAGAATACTCGTTTCACTATGCGGTCATTGGCAGAATTATTAATGAAAGTAAATGCTTCAACTTACCGGTCAGTATCCATCTTTGTCCATCCTCATTGAATTACACATACCTATTTGTATATGCAATGCGTTTTACGTGAAACACAACATTCCTGTAATAAAACATAAACATATATGACAGATCAAAACAATATCGATGCTTTGAGGAGACTTTGTGTCACTCATTTACATTTTAAAAGTGCTTCGTCGCTAAAGACATGGACAGGTGCATCTTATGTTGTTATCGGGAGAAATACAAATACAATATTATCCACAATGATTATACATTTGCAACATTGTGGGTAATATTATATTATTTGGTGATTATACATGTATATTGTCATATATTGGCTTTATTTTTCACTTGATCCAACCTATGATATGTACTGGTACTATGACTAAGACATATATGTTTGAATCAGAAAATACGTCAAGGCCCAATGCCGAATTGAAGACGAATGCCATTATGAGTACATGCGACTTTCAGGATAAACTTACATGCAAAGCTAACCAATAAATCCATGTTCAATGCATGGTTCTGCAGTATGAATAACTGATTACCATCTTAGATAACGTAATAACAAAGTATTGTCTGAAGATGCTCAATAACATAAAACAATTGTTAATAAAGTATAGTTTATAAAATATAGAACACTTATTTTTCTTCCAGGTTGCTAAAGAGCTATTTATCACTGTCCTAGATGTTAATGACAATTCTCCCCATTTTACAAGTGATGTTTATACAGGCTTTGTTGATGAAAACTCAGATGTAGACGCGAGTGTTACTATGGTATGTTACAATGAACAAGTCACAGTATCCGGAAATAACATCACCTATTTTTATACTGTTTTCATCTCGATTCAAAATCATTCTGTGCTCTATACATGTTAGTTAAAGCAGGAGGGTCGTCACCTGCGCACGCACGGGAATTGAGTCCCAAGCGACGATAACACGTGCTAAAAACACAAAGGCTCATGGGTATACGCTTGTTAGTAAACAATGACACGCTATGACCATCTGATGCATTAACTTTTGCCTTGGTAGTGTAAATCAACATATAATATATTATGGTATACGCTTGTATAAATGTGTGACGTAATAATAAAATGACAATGATTTCACGTATAGGTACTATTCTATTTATAACAGATAACACCAATCCAAGCAATTGATAAAGATGAAGGTATGAACGCAGCAATAACATATTCACTGAGCGGTCTAGGAAGTGAAATGTTTCGAATGAATCAGTCAACAGGGGAAATAACCACAGATAACAAAGACTTAGATTATGAAGATACTGCAATATACAACCTTACAGTAACTGCATCTGACTGTAATGGAGGACCTGGAAGCCTACAAAGTAATGCATCTATTGTTATTCAAATCAATGACCGCAATGACAATGCACCCGTTTTTGAACAATTTCTCTATGAGTACATACTAGAAGAAGACACAGAAATTGGACATAGTGTGGATTCATTAGTAGCTAATGATTTGGATGATGAATTAAATGGGCGTGTTGACTACTACTTAGAAGACGGTGATCATGGGGATTTCAAAATAAACAAATATACGGGAGAGTTGTATGTCACAGGAGAATTAGACCGTGAACGGACACCTTTTTATATTTTAAATATCACTGCATGTGATAACGGCAAGACTATCTCACAAACAAAGACGACTGTTATTATAGAAATATCGGATGTCAATGACAATGCCCCTTCATTCACTCAAGAAGTCTACTCCGGAAATCTTCAAGAGAATCTCAACAATGGAAGTTATATAATATCTGTCTCCGCTGAGGATCCTGATTCAGGAAGTAATGGCGACATTATTTACAAACTGGATACTAATGATTTCACTATTGAAGAAGTTACAGGTCAGAAACAAATATTTCCATGTTACAATTACTCTGACACACTCTCGAACCACCTTTCACAGTGCCAATATACTTTAAACAGATAAGATAAATTTTCTTATTTGTATATTTAATTTAAATATATGTGTGTTTGTTTGTTTTTTGTTTAGGGAACATATATACTAACAGAGTATTTGATTATGAAGTTACCCAAGATAGATTACACACGTTCAATGGTAAGAAATCTAGTATTATTACTTTGTTTTATCACACCATTTGCACAGTATACAATTGCATCTGCAACATAACATAATAAGAGCATCGTGTCAACCATTCATTGGATATTATGGTATTTTTTCAACTCAAAGTATAACTTCAAGATGTAATTCAATATAATGTGTCACGAAATTATTGTTGTTATACTAATTTATTGTGTAACGAAATTATTGTTATTATATATTAACATATTGTGTAACACATTTATTGGTAATATATTATTAATATATTGTTATTAAAATTATAGTTAGCTAATATACGGCAATGACTTATCATTCTAGTGACGGGTATGGACATGGGAATGCCGTCTCGGATATCATCATCATTGGTGGTGATACGTGTTTTAGATGTAAACGATAACCCCCCAATGTTTACACAAGACCAGTATAATGGAACAATATTAGATGGATCACTCACATATTCACCAGTAGTTGTAACACATGCCTTTGATTTGGACTCAGGCGATAATGGAGATATTTCATACCACATAACAGACAATACAACATATTTATTTGAAGTCGATTACAAAGGGGTTGTATACCTAACTGATGATGTAGCGTATGATGATCTTATCCAGATTCTTGATCCTCAGGATTCTTTGCAGTTTTCAGTTGTCAGTCGGGATAACGGAACTCCGACTCTTCTGAGTAAAACAACTATATTTGTCACTATACTAAAAATGCAAGGTGAGACTTGTTTATGACATTCCAGGGTATCTGAACTTTCAAATCAAGTAACCTGTAATATTTTATAAGTCTTTCTAGTGTGATCCAACTAATAGTGCCTCTATTTTGTTTCCAGACAATTCAAACACTACATGTGTGTACAATACATCATGGTGTGGTAGCTTTTCATATACGTTTGAGATAGCTGAAAATTCACCAGTACACTCAGTGGTAGGAGATATATCAGATGAAGCAGCATCCATGGTCCTGCCAAATTATGACATCCTAGAAGAATCAGCAAGACGGTTATTTGGGGTTGATTCCGGGATGATACATATTGTTGGTAGCATAGACCGTGAAATTTATGAGACAGTCATTTTTACTGTTGTGATCAGTGCTAATAGACCTGATATTATTAAATACATTCCAGTGTATATTTTAGTCACAGATGTCAATGACAACGTGCCCATATTCAATCCACTTTCCTACATTGTGACATATTTAGAATACACCCCACCCGATACAATTATATCCATAATATATGCTAGTGATAAAGACGCTGGCATCTACGGGAAGTTGACTTATGCAGTCAAATCTCCTGCTCAGGCTTATTTTTTTATGGATAACAATATCCTTAAGAACAGTCAGAAACTTGTCATTGAAGAGATGATCGATGCAGGATTACAAATAAACAATGGGGTACTAGATATCAAAATCGAGGCTCGTGATGGTGGGTATGTATCTACAGAAATCGATGCCAATGTTAAATTATCAATTAGTGAGGCACAACTCGATTCTGGTGGTAGAGATTATCAGAACTCAACAGTATTAGAGAACAGCCCCGCTGGGACAAATGTTACACGAGTGAGCGCAGAGGGATATGATGGATATAACATACTCTATGATTTCTCACAAAGCAACATTCGGAATTTCAATATCAACAATTATACAGTGAGTAAAATTTATTATAGTTTATATATAACACTAAAAGACTCAGAACAGCAATGTGTTGATTCATTGTAACATATTTTTTTATGAATATCCAGGGTGTGGTAACAACGACAGAACTTTTAGACAGAGAAACACGGGATACTTATAGTTATGAAATTGTTGCAAAATTGGAAGGCGAGTCAGCATGTCTTTTTGATCCGGTAAGTACACGAATCTAATACAACGTTGTGTTATTTGAGAGAATTTCAGTCACTGTATATATAAGATGATCATTTTCATTTAAAGTCTCGCCGTGAATTAAATTGTCACCATAGTATGCATATAGACAGTTGATTTCCTAGTTATTATGCTTTTGTAAAATGTTGGCATGCGTTAATAGTCAAGTGTTTTATTCAAATCGCCACGTGTCTGCAGCTTACATTTGAATACCCGGTAACGATTGTTATGAATAAGCTCAGTGCACTGTGATCACGTGATTGTGATTGCAGTTTTCAATGTTTAACAATATCTATTACTTATGTAAATATCTGAACATACTCTGTAATTGTGATCATTGGATGTATAGTGTCATAAATTGCACATATAAAACAAAATACACAACGAACAAAATATATAAAATAGAGACACAGACTAAAACAGAACAAGACCTCGCTTCAATTACAGTGTCTAAGTGCATAACCCCAGACATGTAGTAGGAAACTCTGATACGAACATCATATATGGTTAGTGTATAGATATAATGAGTCATATATACTATCTTGCAGCTGAGAAGTGAGAACTAAATCGGGGATATCGATTTATTTTCGTTTATTCCATTAGTATTAAATTTATTTTTAAAACATTTATATGTAATTTACCAAGCATTTTAAACGTGATTTCATCTAGGAAAGAAATGTGTTTAGAAATGCCATGTTTTTTTACGCCGGCACAAAAATTTGAAAACCAAAATACACACGTGTAATATGTTACTATGGAAACATCACCATATTTGACGTAACAACTGTTTAACTTTTGCAGGTGGTTGCAGAGATTCTAATAACTGTACTGGACGAAAATGACAACAGTCCACAATTCTTAGAAACATCGTATTCAGGAACGATTGATGAGAACTCTTCGTCAAACACAGTCGTGACAATGGTAAGAAGACAAATAACATCCCTAGTTAATACAAATGATTTCTGGCATGGCAATGCAGCAAATATAATACCATGTAGCATTTTGTAACATTCATTTTTGCAATGAGTATAAAATGTGTTAGTGGTGAAGGAATATATTTAATATATATATATATATATTATATGTATCTTCTCACCAATAAGAATTTTATATTTTTAACAGACGAAGGACATTCATGCAACTGATATTGACTCTGATTACAATGCATTGATTGTTTACACACTAAGCGGAATTGGTCATGAAAAGTTTATGATAAACAGCAGAACGGCAATAATTACCACATCTCATTCGGGGGATCCAGGCCTTGACAGGGAAACAAACAAACAATACGAGCTCCAGGTGACAGCATCGGATCGCAACGGGGAACATAACAGTCTGAGTAGCATGAGAACAGTAACTATCACAATTTTGGATGTAAATGATAATCATCCCCAATTCGAACAACAGACATATAAGTATTCTATTGAGGAAAATGTGAGAGTTGGGTTTGTAATAGATACATTGACAGCGACAGATGCTGATGAAGGGAACAACGCCATAATTAGTTACTCTATAGTAAATGGAAGCAAGGGTAAGTTCCGAATAGAACGCAGCTCTGGACAGCTGACTTTGATGGGTGAACTCGATCGGGAGGAAACAGCCCGGTATGAAATCAATATATCAGCTAATGACCATGGTGTTCCGATAAGGACCAGTTTCACCGAGGTAGTTATTGAGTTGATTGATATTATCTACAGACCAGAACGAGGAAGCTGACGATGGAACCATTGTGCTTACAGTCTTTGCTGAGGACCGAGATTTAGGCAGCAATGGAATTGTAACATATAGTTTAAGCATATCTAATTTTACTATTGATTCAAACACAGGTAATAGATTGAACACATTTATTTTACTTACACTACTGTGCTTTCCAGGTGCATTAGTTTACTCATCTCTAGCTCATTACACCTCACATCAAAATATCGATCATTATGAAAAAGCGTAAACACATATTAGCCATATGAGATTTACATACATGTATTATTCTTATCAGGGGAAATATACACCAGCTCAAAACTTGACTATGAAGATCCTGAAGGAAGACAATACGAATTCTACGGTAAGGTTTGAATCAATTCATGAGACATATTGTGGCAATTTATGAAGCATTGGGAAACTTTGAATTTGATCAACTTTTATTGTTTGAGTATTAGTAGTAATATCAAGTACAATTTCATCCATAATAGTTAATTAACTTTGAAGACCATTGTGCATAATAATGTTACTCTCATCTAATTATGACAATGACGTTTATAAGAATCAAACCAATTCAAGTAGAGTCGTCAGTCACTAAATTATTTAGTACTAGTTATTCTTCAGTAAATCCAGTTTACTTTATTTCATTCGGTGTTAATTGGTTGGTTGGTTGGATTTTGGTTGACTTGAGGAATGATCGTGGATTTGGTAATGAACAATATAATGTAACTAATGTGGTCATGTCTGTGTTTTGTTTTGTATGCAGCCTATGCCAGAGACAGTTCACATCCATTCCACACGTCTACATCAACTGTCATAGTCACAATTAAAGATATTAATGATAATTCGCCACAGTTCACTGATGACAGATATAATGGTACAGTAGAGCATGGACAGCGTGCTGAACACGTAGTACTGACTGTATCAGCTACTGACAAAGACAGCGACGAGAACGGACGTATATTGTATCATATTATAAATAATAGCACTGACTTGTTTAAGGTCGACAATAGAGGTCTAATACAGCTGAATGGAGAGATTAATTATGAAGATCTACAGGAAAAGCTTGATGAATACAAATCTCTTCAATTCACTGTAGTAGCGTCAGATGGTGTACTTAGTGATACTGCTCTGGTGAATGTGACCGTAATTAAAGAAGTGGATGAAAGATTAGAATTCCATCGCCCTGAATATGAAGTGACAGTAATGGAAGAGCAACCAGCACCTGTTTACGTCTTAACAGTGTCAGCAGGAGTTGATAATGATGACATAATATATGGTTTTACACACAGAGTGGATGCATTCTCAATAAACATAAGCACTGTAAATATATTAATATATTCATACATTATAACATTAAGCAATACAATATATACATATGAGTAATTCACCCACTGTGTTCTTGTTTTAGGGCGAGATATACACTGTGGCTAAATTGGATTATGAATTAAATAAGCATCATTCTTTTTCTGTTGTCGCAATGGATGCCGACCGTAACAGAGAACCACGACAAAGAATGACTTACACTCCGGTATACTTTTATTTCATTGATCTCGTCTTCCTTTCTTCTGTTATTCCGACTTCTAACACTCAACCATGCTTCTCTTTATCTCTTTACTTTATTGGACTGGGTTATTCTATTCTATTCTATTCTATTCTATTCTATTCTATTCTATTCTATTCTAGGTATTGGTTAACGTCATAGATGTCAATGACAATTCACCGGCTTTTACTAATTCACACTATATGATGACAATGCTAGAAGACGACTACACAATTACGTCTGACACTGTGATTGGAAAAGTCAGCGCAAATGACAAAGATGAAAATATCAATGCTGAAATATCTTATCAAATAATCGATGGAAATCTTGGTGAGATAAATCACTTTTACCATAAATAACAATGCAGTAAATAAATGATATATATTTACATTTTGACACACACAACCCATATTAAAACTTATGAACAAATACACCATTATATCTGATGATTTTTCAAAATATTGTTTTAATTTGTTGAAAGGCACTGTGTTTTCCATGGACGAGGTTGAGGGGGACATTTATGCAGTTGGTCCCATCGACAGAGAATATAAAGCTAGTTATAGTCTTATTGTAATGGTAAGCATAATGTCTTCATTTTATCTCATTCTATCATACATCATGGCTATAATACAGTATTTCTTGTTGACGTAGTAACAGCTAGAGATATGTAAAACATACCCATCCATAGACCATTGAACAAAAGGCGTACAGGAAAATTTACATGTGCAGGAACACAAAACAAATAACAGCAATTGAAAGAAAATCCAGCAGATCAAATCTATTAACTTAAGTAAATTACACAACATAGTCAAATGAGTTAGATAAATATGCAACTGTCTATATACACTTACTGTATCCATACATTAATATGCCAACTTATTTTCATGTGTACAACGGTAATATATTCTGTTATTATACATCTGTCACCGTAACGCCATAAGTTACAGCGTGCCGTAATTTTGCGGTATTGCACTGGGTATTTTCATCCCACCATATTTAGGAAATGCGAGTTTCAAATATGGAACGATTACGCGCGTGAGCATCATCTAATAATAAAAACAAACAAGGCGGCCCCAAAGGTTTCGGACCAGACCCTGCACAAAGAAATTCGCTAAATCAGTTCTAAACTTTTAGGATTTCGGCATTCCCGTGATGTATCATTGGAAGGAAAAGATGTATTATAATAATAAGGTTATCACGAGGATACGGCAAAGTATACACTCTGACAGTACGCGTTACATGGACCGACGCGCAGCTTTGTACAAGAATAATGAATACTAGTTTCAGAATGTTTATGAGATTGATTTGTCCGAATGTGTTAACATAATTCCATGTTGTGCATTAGGCAACAGACAATGGGTTACCATCGCGAAATTCTACTACAAATGTTCAAATCAGTGTGGGTGATGTTAATGACAATGCTCCCACATTCACACTACCTTATTACCATGGGGATGTAGATGAAAATACAGTAGATGATAGTGTTATAGTTTTTCTGTTGGCAACTGACTCCGATCTTGGGGAAAATGGAACTCTCTACTACAGTATAGTTGATGGGAATGATGGGAACTTTGCAATTGACGGTAAGCTTTGTATTAGAATTTGCGCAAATGTGATTATTGGCGACAATATTAATGGTATACAAAATAATTATAGCCCATCATTATAGTTTAGTAAAACACATTATACACAATCAAGAGATGATTGAAAACAATTGTCTAAGAACACCAAACAATAGGGAACTGCAAAATTATGACACCGAAGCATTTATCAAATAAATATACCATGTATAGAAATCAGTAAGCACATCATATCATAGTTATGGACAAAATATAGCTTTTGTTGATAAGTTTTGATCACATCATTGATGACTGCAAAACATATCATTATAACAGAGTGTCCTCTTAAACGCGACAGGATTCAACAAGAAAAAAATTAAAACTATGACGTATATATATATATGTTTACGAAAGGTTTGGAAAATCAAATATGAAAACATTGAAATAATCAATTCAAAGATCTTGGTATTAAGGAAAATAATCCAATTATAGGAATTTTTCAATTGAGATATAATTACTGAATGTGTGAATATTAATTGGGCGAGAGCGCTGCAGATCCAAGCCACTGGCTTGCTGTCACTAATGCATGTGGTCTTCTAAAATTATATCACATTCAGCACATTATGAAATTAATATGGTAATATATACCTACCATTTAGTTAAAATATAGAGGTTGAGTCTTCCACACAAATTAAAATACAAACAAAGACAACAGTCGCATTGAATACCCAAAGCCCTTACATATACTATGTGAAGAGTTTACATATTTGGGTCGCACTGGAGTGAGGAGTAACGGTCGACGAACAGATTGAACTTCAAATGATTGCTATGTACACAATAACATGTCCTTTAATACACTTATCATGATAACTAGACACTAAGTTAATACTATATGTATAACATAAGCAACCATAGTTCAATTTGGTAGATGGAATTAATTAGCTGGTAATTAATATTACTTACTCCATAAAGCATGTAAACATTTAATTAAATTTAATTTTATATCAGTTTGTTCAGAAAACACAACACTCAAGACAACACAAATTGTGAGTTATTAATACTTTAAATAATAAAGATCTAAAAATTATGTTTTATATACATCTATAACTATTTCAATAAACGAGAACATTCAATTAAAAGTGAAATGCTCGAACTAATTACTTCAGAAAATACAAAATAACCATTTTTGTCTAGACATTCAAGCGTCTTGTTTGTTTTGTTTTTCTATTGTTAGTATTTGTTTTCTTGTTGTCTAAAGAATTTGGTTCTTTAATTTAATCTTTACCAAAAACTCATATATTGGGTAAAACAGCAATAAAGTTTTTATTTTATTCTATTCTTTATTCTATTCAATTTTATTCTAGTCTAGTCTAGTCTATTCTATTTTATTATATTCAATTTTATTCTATTAATGTACATACTCATGACAAGTTTTTATTCTTTTTTATTCTATTCTATTCTATTCTATTCTATTCTATTCTATTCTATTCTATTCTATTCTATTCTATTCTATTCTATTCTATTCTATTAATGTACATACTCTTGAATATTACGTACACTTGAATATTTTCTAGTCGTTGTTAATGTGGCACAAACATTATGTGTGTTTAATTTCAGAATTTACTGGCGAAATAATCCCTTCAAATAACGCCAGCATTGATTTTGAGCGTACAAGGTATTACAATCTCACTGTTATGGCGAAGGATGGGGGAGTTGAACCTATGACATCGACTGTTACTGTACATATTGATATACATGATGTCAATGACAATGCTCCATATTTCACCAGTGAAGAGTATAGTGTAGACATACCAGCAAATACCCCAATAGGCTTCATTGTGGTAAATATTACAGCTGAAGACATTGATACTGGAAATAATTCACTTATTCGATATTATTTAGAGCTCCCTAATCCAGGTAGGTTAGTTAGTTAGTTAGTAATTGCAAAAAATGAGAACATCCAATCAACCTAACATTATCGTAAAATAGTAAATACTAGTACATCAACTTTATAATGTTTCAGATAAAAACGTGTCTTTTGAAATTGACGAATTAACTGGGGCAGTGTCGGTTTCTAAGAGTTTGACTACTGGTGATGAACAGCGTAAGCTGACAGTAGTGGCGAAAGATGGTGGCAACCCAACTCTGAGTAGTACTACTGAAGTAAGAACTTACTTTTGTCTGTATTAATGTAATCTCCTGTTCATGAATGTGAATTATGTATACATGTACATATATAAGATGACATATGCATATTAAATACACCAATGACGCCTACTTGAGAGTGAAGCAGGATGTTCTAACTATTTCAGAAAATAAAAATATTATATTATTTTCCATGGAAACATCGTGATTTGGTATTTTGAGGCACAATAGATTTTACCTTCTATTACTATTTTGATTCAACTTCATATCATTGTTTAAACATAGATACAAATGCCCAATGTGCAAATGTATTGCATTTGTTGCTTCAAGTAAGTTATTAATGATGATGTATGATATACACAAAGGGAATGTTTTTCACACAAGGGACTACAAGTTTTTCCCAAATTATATCTTTTTTTACTTTTGTACATAAGTAATTATACTCATAACACCGATAATGAAAAGTTGAGACAGATAATTGTTATTTTACGACATTATATAGACCAGCCAGCAAGCTCTTGATTACCTATTACGGTTCGACAATACACGATCCCTATAACTCGCGGCTTCTGGTGATGGAGCGCTTTTGTGACGAAAAATGACCTATCCTCGGGGGCGGAGCTACGTCACAAGACGTTCCACGTTGCTACGCCGCGCACCACTGTACATGCATTTCTATGGGCTCTGTGCGCGCTGCTGTGGAACGCCGGTTAAATTTCAAGAAAACAACACAAACTCAACTTTGAAGTAATCCTGAACAACCAAATTTATATATGTTATAGACGTAGGGATAATCTTGTTACACTGTTCAGCGGAGTCTCAACAATCATCCCAAAGTATCGTTTTCTGCGAGTTTTGGGCCTTTGTTTTCACCACTAGGGTTGCCAGGCGGTGAAAATGCCCGGATGTCCGCCCCGAGGATATGCGTGACAGCAATTTTGTTTAAAAAGACAACTACGTTTGGTTGTGTTGTCATAGTTACCAAGAACATAGTAAAATATAAGCAAAACATAATTATCATTGATAAACTGCTATAGGTCAGATTTCATGTCACTTATTTACGCCACAAAACGTGTCGTTACTAGAGAGCGCGGTTCATGTGAAAGGTGCTTATAATAGTAATAGATAGTTAAATAATTAAATGACACGGAAACCTGTGAACAGTTTAATCCTACGTATGCATTATTCATATTTTAACTGCGTTTTATTTTAATAGGTCAGTATATTCATCTCAGAATTGAATGTGTATTCACCGAATTTCAAACCAACCAATTATACCAAAGAAGTACTTGAGAATGTTCCTACAGGTACATCCATTGTCACTGTAACTGCAACTGATTTAGATGCCCAGAATAGTTCCCAAGGCGCAGGAGATGTGTACTATAAAATAGTACATGGAAATGATGATGGTATGTCTATTTCAATTCCTAACTATCTCAGTATCGCACATGTTATAAAGCAAACCTCATTTCACTGTCTTTCCGATTTTATTTTTCATAGTTTCCAATTTTTAACTTAGAAGGTATTGTTTTATTATTCTATGATCTATCACCATGGTAATCTAGTGATTCCTTTAAAGCGGGGGGGGGGGGGTCGTCACCCGCGCATTCACCAGATGGCCATAGCGTGTAATTATTAATAAACAAGCGTCTACCCATGAGTCTTTGCGTTTTTAGCATGTGATGTTATCGTCACTTGGGACTCAATTCCGACCCTTCCGCTTTAAGGGGTATAGCAAAATCCGAGACAGTTTACGATCTAGTATTGTAATGATGTCTGGAAAATTACCGACATCAGAAAATCTTTGTTGTGAAAATATTTGTTTGATACTTAAATTGGTTTAAAAAGCATTATGGTCTTAAAATAGAATAATGATTTCAATAGGGTTTTACAAACCCATATATTAAGGCCAGGAGAATTATACAGTATTAGAGTAAATGTCGGGGGTCTAGGTCGGATTTTAAGGCCTATAAGTGGTGTTATTTTGATAAATACTTTATTAGTCCTGAGTTTCCTTGTGCCTGGTGATTTTGATTTCTTTTATTTAAGTGTAATTTAATTAAAGGTTCCCAAAGTTACTTGTAAAAAATAACAACGAAGGGATGCCGTGTGTGTGTGTCACACGCAACGTAATATTACCGTAATTGGTATAGTACAGGTGTGATGGTTCAAATACCAAAATGGCAACAGTAACAAAAAGACTTCCCTGGCGGCGATGATAAAATACGAACACGGAGCCAACAGATGAGGTTTCAACTAGTACTGGTATTATTATACTCTGCAAACATCAAGTACAATAACGCGGTAAAACTCCACTACTCCAATAACTAGATACTCCAATACAATTCAACGAGATCTCCGATCTGATCTCAGTGCTGAACAACTCCCCTATATATACCCACACTGTCTATAAATAGACCATTACATCAGCATACATAATGAGTCTGGAACTTACTACCAATTTCTAGAATGTTCCATTACCTTCTATTGCCTCCTACAGTGTTCTATTCAACCTACAGTGTTCTACCTATTCAACCAGTTTCTAAACAAAATCTAGAATATTCCACCCAGACACAGTACGGTTCTGGAACATTCTCAGTGACACGGAAGTGGTACATAAGTCGTATGCGACAGTGTGTATGATTTAGATAAGAGAATGTTATGACTAATAATATCGAAAGCCTTGGTAAAGCCAATAATTATTGTGTTCAAGGAATCATAAACAAGGTTTAGTAGCGAGAGCTGTGTGTTATATGTGCGGAAGCCAGTGTTCTTTACAAATAATTTGTCAATTTTTGTTTTTGTTTTATTGACTTTAATAGACCTTTTTAATCCAAGGCTTCTTCAACTAGTTGGATTTTTGTTTAGATTTGATTAGAAAGTTATTGTAAGATTAGTTAAGATTTCATCTATTTATGTTCAGTAAACTTTCATCTTTAATAAGCTGTACAAATTGCCAATGTCGTCTCTATGGTGATAAGTGCTGTTATTATAACATTTCCAATAAATGCAAAACTGGGTTGATGGCATGTAATATCATCTAGGATCTTACCACGATGAATAAAGTTGTTCCAAACATTTGATTAATTATGGTAAGGTACTAAATTGACGAGTAAGTTGGTTTATTGTAATCGACATCTAGGAGAATATAATTAGTGTTAGAAGACTTTAAATCGACTAAGACTACTTAGCTGTGAATGTTTCCGGTATATGATTCCTATAGTGGGTTTTTCATCCAAGCCAGCTACCAATAATTAATCTATCTCTTATGATATAGGATTCTTTAAAATCGACTCAAGAAGTGGAATAATTCGGACTAACTCTAGCATTGACCGTGAGAAGCAGGAAACTGTGAGTTTGGTAATACAAGCATACGATGGAGGTGTTCCACAGAGAAGCAGCACTGCATCTGTGGAAATAATACTATTAGATGTAAACGATAATAGGCCAAGATTTGATCCAAGCGAAATGGAAGTAAAACTGTCTCATGTGAGTTTATTACATAGCTGTTTTGAGTCTTGAGTATGCAAGATTACCACATACTGTACTTCAGACGTTAGAGTTATGTTGAATAATTTTAATAAACGATAAACTCTTACCACACCAAAGTCAGATTTGATGACATCGTGGTGGCTGTCTAAAAGCATAAACAACATATCCAGTAACTCATCGGACAAATAAACAACATTGTCGACTTCTAACTTGACATATTCCAAATATGACCATCTAAAACGTGTCATGTACGCGCTTTTTAGTTGTGAATAACTGTCGATCGAAATACAAAGGTTCCAATCTACCCCCGGCATAAAACCGGTGGTATAGCAATCAAACTGGTTGATAGTTTGCCTATTACACGTAATGGTCGTTCTGGGGTATATGTAATAATATAATAGTGATAATATTACCTTACGAGTAATCGTTTATTTCTGAAACAGGATTCGCCAATTGGTACCTTTGTGATTAATGTGAATGCAACAGACCCAGACATTGAAGGAACAATCACTTACTCACTGACGCCTAGTATACCGTACATTAAGAACCTGTTCTCTATCAATGAGACCAGCGGAGTTATTGAAACAAAAGCTGAGTTCAATACACCAGAAGCCGACTTAAAGGTAACAAGACTAAGCAAGAATCATAAACACATCGATTATAATCAGAGGAATAAAAACGTGTTATTAATGCAATCATATATTATTTGTCATCGTTCTTATCATACACTCAATCTCATGTATATTTCTTTTGTAATCTGACGAATAGATATCTGTGGAAGTGAACGATGGGATTTATAATAATTACGGCCACTTTTCGGTGGTGGTCTACTACAACGATTACAACATCAACCCACCCAAATTCATCAGAGGTTAGTCATGTTTTGTGTATTTGCATAAATGTAACCTCGTACTAATTCATCATACATACTGTATACATTAGCCTATGCATCTCTAATTACTCAACACTATACACAGTTGAGTCACAATGAATGTCCAACTCATCTTAATTAATGGATGTACCCCACACAAATGTTAGTGATTAGTAATAATATCCATACTAGAATTTAACATAGTTATTGAATATATCCACAGTTTTGACACACAAATTAAAGAAAATAAAATATTTGAAGGAAAGGAAACATTTTCATAATACGTTTTTTGTAAAATTTATGCAAACAAATATTTATTGCCCTTGTAACAGCCTAATGCCCGTGTTATTAAGATTACGCTCGTGTTATTAAGATTACCAGGATCGAGGAGTTCCCAAACCCTTCAGCCAAGCAAAGACACACACAGACGGAATTCGTGTCAATCTCTAGTCTCAGTCGCTCTCTGGAGAAGTGACCAACCAGCATACCTTACATAGAAGTTTAAGACCTTGAGGCGTGGCCTCCACACATTCCACTCGCATGTAACCAATCACACAAAGTACTTAACACGTCATATATACTTTATTAATTGTTCGCTATATTGGGAAACTACACATATCAATATCGTTAACTTATAATCGGGGGGCGGGGGCGCCAAAGTGTTAAAACAACAGTCTGTTAGCAAAGTTCATATCTGTAATTAGTTCCAATTACTGACTCTACTTCTGTCCCGGACCTTATATAAACCTAAATGATAGCAGGTTATGAGCAAATGCTGAATGATATAAAACAGCTCTTCACTGGAAACCAGTTATCAAGTCGGTATCTAGACACATTGAAATAAAATCATGATACCTTTATTCTTTTAATATCTCGGTATTTTTGAACTCTTTTCTGAAAAAAAGATATATACAGAACAGAAGTTCCACAAGATCTAAGTATTGGTTCAGACCTCCAGTTGAATATTGAAGCAGTTGATGAAGATGGTGGTAGTGCTGGCATGGTTACATATGAAATAACTGCAGGGAATGAGAGGGTAGGAATAATATTAGTTTTTGTTCACTGTCTACATTGTATGGTATAGCATTGAGCTGTCGAATCATTTGTCTATAATGTTTGTTTCGTTTCTAGGGTATATTTGTTATAGATAAGAACACTGCAGTAATAAGCAGTATGTATCAATTGGATCCATACAATACGACATCACTTTACAATCTTACAGTGAATGCTACAGACAATGGTGAAAGGCCGAAATCAAGGTGTGTCATATTGTTTATAGGATATCTTGTTTGGAACGAACGATTCACATTATTAAATCACTAATGCATATGCCTATAGCATATGTTTTCAAAAAACTAATGATACTCCGAAAGACAAGTCATATTAACGTAGTCTTGCATTACTTGCAGTAATGTATCGGTAGAAATAACTGTCAATTTGACAGTTTATAATGACTTGGAAAGACCAGAAAAGTCACAGAGCAAAGGTAAATTATGTGTGAATAACATATCTTACTATATATTTGTAGTCTACAGTTTGTTATTAATTTAATTAAGCTTATGCATTTAACGTGTTTAAATGTTTTTTTTATCAAGCCACTGAAATATTAGCAATCACTATGACAACACTGGTTGTAATCCTTGTAATTGTGTTGGTTGTCGTGGTAGTACTACACGTATTTCGGTAGGTAAAATATTTGACGTACATTTGTATCACGTGACTCATAGCAACACAGTATGGGTTGGCGAACTGTCACGCACGTCATGTAATTGGTTCCGCTGTTGTAATCATTTCAAACCATGCACTGTCAGTAAAGAAGATTATTAAACCATCATTCAGTGTTCATCCAACATTTCATCTCTGATATTAAACCTTTGACGACACTAACAAAAACAAAATATTTGGGAACAAACTTTTGATCAGGAACTAAGGCAATGACAATTTATATTATTAAACAAAAAAAATAGACCATCTTCCGTTTACTGCGAGATCCTTGTTTTGCCTGAAATCGGACGTAAAACAGGTCATATTGTCGTAGTGACGTAAAAACATAACGTTGGATGCGATAAACGCGATTGTTTTGGGGTATTACAAAAAGTAAAGATATCGCAATGCAATATTCCACTCTTAATAATCGGCATTCCGACTTGGAGCTATAAAAACGAAAATCAAGTTCAAAATCGTGAAATCTCGAAATGAACAGAAAATCGTCGAGATGAATTTTACAAACGTGTAAAATATATGGAATTTAAATCATTAACGTGGCATTTATAGTTTGCTTATACATGATGGAATTCATTTTCTATGTAACCAAACAATACATAAAACAATCAAAGTGAGCAAGATGCTTTGATTTGACCTTAAACTTATATTTAGAATTGGTCCATTTAGTTTGAATTTACCATTGTCATCTTTTCCACCTCATCACAACAACATTCCACATGAATTTCCCATTTCAGTGACTATAATATAAGTATGTGAACATATATAGCAGCTAAATATACACAACATATGTATCTAACAAAACCTCATCGCAAACATTTTAATGTAATCCATTAGTTTCTAAAGATTAATTAAGTGGTAGGTGTGAAGCAGCATTGACCTAACGTGCAGTTTATATTATTTGTTGATTATAATGCCTTCAAATCTATGTATATATCTTATATTGTATTGTGTTTATAGCAGAGAAACATTGAAAAAGTTAACAATAATTTTGAATGGCATGTGTCATAACATTTTCACCCGTTCTGGAAAAAAAATATGTGAGTAGGAAAAACTAATTAAATATATTAACTTAAATCTTTATTGTTTGCTGTAGAATGAAGAAAATTAAACAGAAAAGTCAGGTAAATATAATCGTTCCTCGTGTTTCATATTTTTATATGTGCCAGTAATTTCGATTGTATATTATAAGAAATTGCTAATAATTGAAATGGTGAGCATTATTGACTATTTCTATGTTTTGATTCATGAATTGTGTTTAGGAGAACCTCGGTCTACCAGCACCTAATCTGCCACCTCGAAAGAAAGTAGAATTCCATGAGAGTATGTACACTGCAACGACGCCAACAAAATCAGATGCATATAAGCAACCAATTAACAATCAAGAGTAACTATATCTTGTTTACTTTACTCGTATTGCAATGTATGAGTGACATTCGGGCTCAAAAAGATCCCATAACCACTAAGTGCTTTACCTTAAACATTGTATCTCATATGGAAGTGATATATGTTTATCTGGCAAGGATGTTGTATTTTTGCTGGCGTTTGTCCATACGCGAGATAACCGGAAAGATTGTGGACTAATGTTCATGTCAACTTTTAGATGATGTTACCCTTTAGGCAATGTTCAATTGATTGATGCAGATAGACATTTTAGGAAGTCCTTATCATCACTACTAGCTAAAACAAGTTATGGGCGAATATTCTTAAACATTTAAGGATTGTCCTTGATACAAAGACCAATCAATTATATCTTGGTAGATACCTAGACCCAGTTGTCATTGCATCATGAATTGTCGGAAAGAGTATTCACCTTTGCCAGAGAACAATTTATGGACATATTTCACGATGTTGGGAAAGACATTGCGCTAGTTGCCGTGGAAACATTTATTTAATTCTCTTTTGTTTTGTTTGCAAACAGTTCCGATGAGCAGCAGGATTTAGGAGAATACCTTAAAATGAATCCTGATAATATTGAAAATTCACAATATATTGAAATGAGAGAAGGTGGTGATAGCGAAGGAGGTACGTAATTTAAATTGTATTGGAGATGGTAGTAGTATTGATGACATATGACAGGGAGCTGTTGGTTCTAATAGTCATGGTCACATTCAAGGAGACCAAGTACCGAATATGTGCATAGAAGTGGTAGTAATAATAGAGATGAAATGTGAGTTAGACAGTACGTAATGTTGTCACTAATCGTAATAGTTCAATAAATTATGTACAAATTGCAGTGCTGGTGACAGTGCAAGTATTTAGTGCCAATAATACACGTGATGATATTAATAAACATACACCAGGAATACAAGAAAATTCAATCATCTGTAAAACCCTGTACAATTGTGTTTGAAAGTTTAGACCGCACAGCATCATCATCAACGTCCTCCCAACATTATTCACGATCACTGCACAACATTCATGCATTTTTTAGAATAATATCCGTATGTTCTCCGTATATGGAGACGTGAAGTATTATAATCTTGATATATTTGTTATTGTTCTTTTTGGAACTATAATCATTGTATAACGATTCTGTTAAGATAATTCTATTTTAGAAATATATCACACTAATACAGTATGATTTTGAAAACAGATACAAACCATGAACGTGTAACTCCTTCAGAACAACTTGGCTTATCACATGAATATATTCACCTTCAGAATATTCAACCTGAACTGACAACACATGGTAAGCACACCAAAACATACTTGTCACATTAATGTTGTTGATTATATCCATACAAAATTGGTTATAATTTCATATGATGTAATGATATATGTATTGTGATACGATGTGATAATAAATGTGTACGATCGTGCAGATCATTTACCATTTATGTAATTGAATTTTTGCAGAATATGAAAACCGTGAAATGTTTAGTAAAGAAGTGACGTCGTCATCAGGATCTGCGTCGTCATCAGAATCTGCTATAGAGAAAGAAGAGAATTAAACCAAATTGCTTCATAATAAATAGCAATCAACTTATAACAATATTATTATAACACACTCATTATGCCTTTTGAAGACGTGCCAATGCTATATGCATATATTGTAAACTAACGAGTTCGCATACCTAATTATTTAAATATAATGATGTTGTGAACTTCGTTTTGCAACATTTATATTTCATTAACAATGATTGAAAATGAGCAAAATGTGTAAACAATTAAACGACTGTTATAATCTCTTCTTATATACATAAGCAGCATACATTTTGAATTATGTCATATCTTACCTCTCAACACATTTGCGATTTAATTATGATCAGCTCATTAAAGTACGTACGTGAAAAGTGTGTCTACTGTTTTTTAACATTGGCATGACTGTGTGTGCCTCGTTGATACCCTACATATACAATATGACTGATGGTGTAATTCCCTAATACAATGAATGACAATTACTGCTAAGAACGTCTTGGCTGAAAGCAGAAGGGGATGTGAGTGTCATCCGAAACCTGCTTCGTGATGTTAACCGCAAATTTGATTCACATCATGAAGAGATTAGCATGGTAGTCGATAGAGTCCAGTCACCACAGGGGTAACCACTTGACTATCATCGTGGTTACCAGTTCCGTGCACGTTTGTATGTTGGACTCTATTCACAATAAGTGGTAGCGTGTAAATCGAGTGGTGCCTGCCTGCATGCACTGCAATGACAAGCCAACAATTATGAGATGGCTGTAAACAAGCCAAGGAAATGGGTGAACCTGAAAATGTTTTGTGCATTAATTACATAACTGTAATGTTGCACGTGATTTTTATAATGAAAGACAAGGTGGACAAAACTGAACGTGAAAAAAACGATACAAGAAATGTCAAGGTAAATGTCTAAAGCGAAATCCAGTTCATTGTAAATAAATGGAACAAGGTAAAAATGAGCAGGTACAGTGTTGGATGGCCAATTGTAGCATCATAGAATGACACAAATACTGAAACATAATTTGGAATACAAAATGCCAGCATGCAAGTCACAAGCGACATTGAGAGTTCGTGTAGCACAACAAGGTGCCTCTGATATGGTTGTCACTGCCCATCCAAGCTATGGGTTGTGTATAGGCGCAGATGTTGCATTCTGGCTCATGTCAACAGTGTGGGCCAACATGAAACTGGAAGGCGTATGAATGAATGGCACACATTGGTGGATTTAGAGGGGGCGAGGAGACCGCGGCCCCCCTATTTTTAACAACCAACAGGGCTTCGCGCCATCGGCGCTCGCGAACTTTGACTTCGGCCAACTTATCGCCCCCCCCCCCATTCCAGAATCCTAGATCCGCGCCTATTTGCCTGGCATAGACTGAGGTGAATGATGGTGCAACTTTAATGATACAGCAATGGTGAAATGTAACGGTTTTGGAAACAGGCAACAGGACTTGTGGCTCGATTGCACATGTTATATCTTCTACCAGTAAGGTATGGGTCAAAATGCAGAGGGGATGTTGTGAAGTATTTACTGACTTGCAGAAATTTGAAGAAGGCGACTGTCAAATCGTGAACTTGTCATTTGTGTGAATGGAGCGATTCTTTCATAGAATGTTGAAAGTCAATCATGTTTTTTTAGTCAAATCCCCTAGCAATCTGTTGATGTCAAGTTGTGTCTGTTGCAACTGTACATGATCAGAGGTGTTATCTGGTTAAGTCACTGTGTAGATGGATAATGACTGTCAGGTAGATTTTAATGGTTTTGTATTTTAGGCCATTCTGAGCTAGGTGTGTGGTGTAGAGAATGGTCGCTTGTGGTGTGACTGGGTATGCTGGTAAACAGTGCAGGTAACAGAAGTAGTAGAAGTGGTTTTGACCAAATAGGTAGGTTTGAGGGGTTGACTCTGCGATGCTGTATTGCATGTATGATTGTGCTTGGGCTGCTATGATTTGTGCATTTGAATATGTGGCCGGCAGTTCTAAGCTATGAACTGCTCTTGCAGTAGATCAGGTGGAATTGGTGTAGCGACGTGGTCTGCTGTTGAAACCAGCTGCTCGAAGCATTGAAACTGTAAAGGAGAAAGTGAATCAGCAATAGAGTTATCAATGCGACTAATATTGGCAATGATGACATAAAGTTCTTTTTTGCAGTGACAGAGAAGATTGCCTGAACAAGGCGCATGATATTTGAATACTGTGTTGATCCTTTCTTCCATAGGTTTACAAAAGCTTCATTATTACAGCGAAACAATATGTGTTGATCATGACAGAAATTCCCCCGAATTGAATAAGAAATGAAAATAGAATACATTTCTTTCCACTCAATTGTGGTTGGGAAATATGGATATATTTAACAAATGGCTAATGTAAAAGCCCCACAACCAATGGAACCTGAAGCATTTGTGAACACTTCTAGCGTCTGGCCAGGTGACCAGTGCAGAGCCATACCAAGATGGTAGAAAATCGCACCACCACTGAACATATAGTCGGACGTTTTCAGTCAATCCTATGATGCTGTTTAATGTTCTGACATTGATCATGTGGCTAAAATAATTAGTCCAGCTGGCAAAGCTAAAAGTGCCAATAAGCGATAAGAGCTTGTAGTAAGTCATGTAACTTGTCGTCTGGGAGTCTGATGATCATTTTTACTGTGTCCAATTCAATCCAGAGGAATGTGCGTGTAGATAAGGGGCCATCGAAAATTTTTTGCTGATGGGAACACTCAGTTCTTTGTAGACTGATAGCATATTGTTCAATGTGAAGGCATATATGCATGTAAGGGAAGGGCGACTGCCAAATAGTCGTATTTGAGATTTTGTGTGTTTGCTTGCTGGGTGAGGATCCGGTGAATTGCTTTGGCTAGCTGGTTGAAAAGGTATGGAGCACCAGTCTTCTTTGGATGAAGACTGAGAGAATTAACTAAGAAAATAGGCAGTGGCAGTGAGTCGAATGGTGTGCTCTCCTTCAGAAAGAATTTAGTGATGGCTTGTCAAGTGTAGATTTTGCATTGGATGTAGTTTTAAAATGCTGGTGAACACCAAGATTTGCGTAGTTGTGATGCCATAAATACTTTGTCTGGGTGGTCAGGTAGAGATGGTGCAATGGCGTGCAGTGATGTTGGCTCAGCTACTGCCGTGACTTTACAAACCATGGTCAATGACAGAGCATACAAGGGCACTTGTGAATGCATCTGACTTGACAGGAACTGCTGCGTGTACCATTGTTGAATTTCTAACAGATCTGAGCTGAGTTTACAGGTGATGTACATACAGATGAAGTACCAGATGATGATTGTGGCTTGGGGTTGCCCAAGTAGTATTGGTTTGTATTGATCTGCTGGTTTGTGGTGCACTATGATTTTCTATTTCTTGCCACAGACAAAACATGTTGGGATGATGAGGTGTGGGTGAACAAAATATAGCTGAGGGTCAAAGATGCTGCATTGATTTGAAACGATTTATTATAGGCAACCAAAGTTACAGGTTGATAAATTTATGCCTTTGATACGATGAAACGGTAGTAATTTGAAAGGTGGATGAATTCATATGGAAATTAGAAAGCCTTGTATATACGCATAAAAAACGGAGAAGCACTGGGACCAAGATGCATAGCTGACTATATCTTTTCATCTGGGTCACAAATGACACAATATGTGGTTGTCCGGGTCAAAAATGATGTTTTTTCAAGTCTGAGTGTCTGGGTTTAGATCACTGTTCAATGAACTTACTTTACTATGACCTGTCACACATATGTTGCCACACTAACTCTTTTCTTGTTCCTCATTTTTTTTCCTCAAGAAAGTCACTAGAAAGTTCTTGGAGTAAGCTGATACATGTCATGCAAGCACACCTGTGAGCTGTCCACATTCATGTAACTGTTAATTTTTCTTGCATCTAACCTAGATCTCTACCCCTGCTTCTTCTCACTTACTTTTAGCAAAGGCTTTGCATAAAGTAATATGGAAGTATATTCTCCTGCAACTAGGAACATGTCAGCAGTCCCCCGAGGTGAAGCACTTTTTGCCAATTCGGTTGAATGAATCTCAAAATGCCTTGTTTTGGGAACAGTACAAAATACCAAAAGTACCAAAGCTGAAAATCTGGGTGAAGTGACAAACCACAGTCTGATGGCAAAGATAATAAGGGGTTATCCACTTGAAACGAATTGAAACAAAAGTGAGGTGGAGAAATTTGAAATTTCTTCACAATTGACATTTACCCCAATTAATCTACCCATCCACAAGAATGTTTTTCACAAAGTTCACAAGTTCATCCCCTACTCCATACACAGGACATACCAGACACTACAACACTGGTAAGCAATTTTTGTATTAGTTTATTATCACCTGCATTGCAAGATATATCATCAACATTGGGTGATGAACATTAAAATCTGATCAAACACTGAGATAACTTTCTTTAACCTGAAACCCTCTCTTATACAAAAAGCTGTTCAAAGTAAACTGAGTCTAAATCGAGCCTTGAAGCTTTCATCTCCTCTCTGGAATGGATACCATAATATATAATTAGTGTCCCAAATATTATTAAAAAAGTTATAAGCCATTCCTAATGGCAAAACACTCAACGGATTTAAAGGCACAGTGTATGGTGAAGCAGCATGATTTTCTGTTACTATGCCGACCACTGGTATATCAGGTGAGGTTATTTTAATACCATGAGAACCGGGTTTTGAATAACGTACACCATCTTGGATTCCTGAAACATAAAATTTTCAATATTTATCAACAAGTTATATAATTTAAAGTTACTGATCATTTCATCATCAAACGTCACCTTCCTCAAACTAAACTAAAATGTCATGTGGTGCAGAATGTGTGCCAAGTTTTATTTCAAATGCTCATTACAGAGGAACATGCAACCATTTGAGATGTGATTCCTTGAACTGAGCAAGGTGGTGAAAATTACAGGTAGAGACTTACTTGCTTTTTTTACTTACCGTGCAACATTTGACTTCCATTCAAAACAACATTCATTGGATCAACAAGTCCTCCTCCCATCTTATACAGTTTCCATTGGTAACCAGCCATGGCAGCAGGAAAAAAGTTGTACATCATAGATTCTGGTAACCTTGTAGATGTCTTATTGAAATAGTTAATCTCAATATCAATGCCTATAAGCAAATAAATTATTGGCAGAATTAATCAGGTTTATTCATGGTGGGGTTTGAGTTTGCTTAGTTACCACAAAATGGGTATCCGTGCATGTTATTTTCTTCCAGTCAGCAGGAATAGATAAATTTTAAACAATAACAAGTTTTGTACAAAACATGTTGCTTTGTATTGTAGACATCCACGATACCTATTAATATTTGTGTTTATATTAATATGGAAAAAATGTTTTAATTACTAAAAGTTGATTTATAACATTTTGGTAGATATTTCTGGAAGATGTACAACAAATGAAAAAAAGGCTTATTATAAAATTGCCTTTCTAATCTGACACGAACACAGCAACAGAGCACCCAAGAAAACTCAAAACTTATCTGTTACGGGCCTATTTTATTTTGTAGATATTCTTGAAAATCCTCATTCTTAAATAATATTATTTTCATATCATTATTTTCTATTATTATTTTCATAATTTTTATATTTTCCGTATTATGAACTAACCATTGTAACCCAACTTCCCATGCAGCAACAAATTACTTTTCTTGACCTGGGTGGAGTAATGTCTGTATGTGATTTTACCAATGCAAGTTGCAGGCATTTGCAAACTTTTAGGAATGGTGTTCAAGATCAAATTTTATAAATTTCATATTTCCATACATGATAATGATAATATATCAATGACAATTAAATATGATGGTTAAAAATGGTGAGAAAATCACAATTGTGTGAAAATTCAATACATTAATTAAGTATACCTGTAGTCTTCTTAATCTGTGTTACCTCCATCTTAGTCCAAAGAACCTTAGGAGCTCCATAGTATACCCAACTTTGGTTGTCAGGGAAGGAAAGCTTGGTAATGAAGCTACATGAACCATCTGAGAATGAAACACACAACTGCTGATTTTTGGTGACACTAGTGAAAGGCTAGTCCAGTTAATTACTGCAGACTGGTGATTGATATTAATTACTGGAGACTGGTGATTGTAATTAATTTCCGGAGACTAGCCATTCCAAAATATGTCTGGGGACTGTCCAGTCAAATCAATTTTGGAGAATGAAGAGTACATCCAATTGCAACTGACCTTTATAGGCTAGTACTTAACTCCAATTCAAATCCTCATAATATACCAAATCAAATAACTGACAAATGGGGGTTTCTTAGGTCATTGTTTTACATCAAGAAATATAAACCTTGCAAAACCCAACAGAGTCACTCTGAAGACCAAAACAAAAGCAGGTGGATAGCTGAATCCAATTAGAACACTGTTGATACACATTGTTCAACAAAGGTTAAGACTCACCTTGTTTCTGCCACATTTCCTGTACATTCATGATCCAAGTATTTTGTTGTGGGTGGGCTAACTTGGTCATTCCTGTTTTATGAAAGCCTGCACCCCCTGAGCCATGGAAGTTGTACTGTTGACTGAAGCTGTTGATGTCTGTGTCATTATAACTATGATACATCATTAAACCAAGTGCGCAGTTATCAGAAGAACATTTAGCCCAGTCAATCTAGAAACAGACAAGACATGAAATGTCACAGTCCCCGTTATTTGATTATAAAGTTGTACAAAGA